ACTTAAACTTGTAGCCACATGAGGGTGATTGTCTCCGTACGTGCTTTTGTAGATGGCAAGTGCTTTTTCGTGATACTCCTTTGCTTCTTTGTAACTTCCAAGATTACTCAATGCTGATCCTAGATTACTTAAACTTGTAGCCACTGAAGGGTGATTGTCTCCGTACGTGCTTTTTCTTATGGCAAGTGCTTTTTCGTGATACTCCTTTGCTTGTTTGTAACTTCCAAGATCATTCAATGCTAATCCTAGATTACTTAAAATTGTAGCCACTTCAGTGTGAGTGTTTCCGTAGGCCATCCTGGCCATTTCTAGAGATTTTTCATAACACTCCTTTGCTTCACGGTATTCACCAAGGTTTTGTAGTGTGATTCCTAAAACGTTAAAGAACCATTGTTGTTCTTTAATGTTGTTTGCATTGTACATGTGCTCGTCTGAAGTTTTCGTGTCGACCTCGTTCTTCGTAGTGTCAGATTTTGTAATTGTAAGTGACATGCATATTTCTAGCATACTTCTACATATATCATACTTTTGCTGTTCTCTCAAAACKTCAYACAGACGATTCTTCAATAGTGTCATTACTTGTAGATATTGACTCGTACTCGTTCTGTTTAATTGGTAGCGTACTCCATACTTGTCCTTTTCTGTCGAAAGCAAAATTTCGCGTCGCTCGAAAAACATTTTTAATTTGTAAGACAAACTTACCACGTGCACAACAAGTTTGCCAGTAGATTTGATGTAATCAATGCTGTTTTTATCTTTTTTGTCAAGATATGAAAACACTTCAATCACTTTTGTTAGATACGACAATTCATCTTCTTCTTCGCTGTGTAATTCTTGGACTACTGATTGAAGAACGTTAAATACAACTTGATGGACGCGAATCATTGGTTCAACTTTATCTTCAAACGTAAGAACGAGTGACGACTTCATTATCGTTACTGCTACGTATTTTTCGTTTTCTGCAGGCAAGCACGTCATGACATAATGTACAACATGATGTAGCGATACAAACTCTGGAGCCAGTGCAGCCATAAATTCAAAAGCATGGAGCATTACTGGACTTTTCTCTATGAAGTTTTGGACTGCCATCTTTACAGCTGTTGTCATCGACTTTCTATACGAGTTGTTGATTTCCTCATACATTCTTTCAGTTGATTCAATATTGCTTTTTTGGATGTGCTGAAGGTATTTTTCCCATGTCATGGTAGGATCTGCAATGCTAACTTCTTGCATGTATACTGCTGCACAAGCGAGAGCTAAAGGCTGGAAATCAAGCTGCTTAGCAACGGCATTCATAGTTTCTTCTTTGTCAGAACATCCAGAAATTTCACGCAATGATTCCACTGCGTCCTCGAGTWCCATACCACGGCTTAAGGGCATATGATGTGCATGTGGATCACGCAATGGTATTGACGGGCTGTCTTGCGTTGTTATTAGGATATGGCCTTTACTGTGTTGCAGATTTTCGCCTGCATGAGGGAGAAACCTTGAGACTAGCTGAATATCTTCCACATTGTCTACAATCATCAGCCAAGAGGAGTAGCTGTGCAGTTGTATGGAGACATTTCCTCGTAGTTGAGCGAGTTTGTGTTCTTGAGAGGTGATGGTATTGATTGATGCTATGGATTCTTCGCTGCATCCAAGCTTTCTTGCCAGATCGATATATGATAGAGTTAAGCTTTCAAGATTAGATACGTTCAGCGTCGATACGCACTTGGCTGATTCCTCAACATCTTCAAAATATTTCTTTCCAATCTGCCTCGCAAGCTCACTTTTACCACAACCAGGATTTCCAGACAAATACGTAATGGTGATTTCATGTGGAAACATTGCTTTAAGTTGCTGTATGTTGGACATTATCTCTGTTACTTCACTGGTACGGTTGATAGTTGGATGGGATGGTTTCTGAGGCAGCATACAAAACTGTGGCAGACTTTCATCTGTAAAACAAATTAAAAAACTGTATT